TATTTCATATCAATTTTATTTCATCTCGATTTATGTATACTATTGTTTCAGTATTGTATCATTTTGCCCATGTTTGAATTATTTTGATAACAATTCTTTATATATGTATGTATTATTTCAATTCAATTTTGTTTAATTTTGGTTAGTACAGAGGAGGAGGACTTAGCATAAGCTAAATAAGCTTTTTTCCTTCCCCCTGCACCTGTTTTATTTATCATTAGTGTATTATGTATAATTGTTTTATTGCTGTTTTGCAAATAAACAAACAAGGTGGTCCAATGCCCACTGGCCACTAAAATTTATAGCATAGCACGCGAACAACTGGGGTTTGGGGGGTCTTCAGGGTCTTTGGGAGCTTTATGTGCTATTTTCTGATTGCATATAGACAACATAGCCGGCCTGGTTGAATTACGTATACGCCCGTTTTTTTTTTAACTGGGCTGATCAGAAAACAGCCGAAGACCACCAAACCCCCAGTTCTATAAGCCTGCTACGGAGGCTATAAAATTTAGGCCGGGGCAACTAAAAAGACACTTTGGTACATTTTTGGGACAATAGAAAAATAATCATCAGAAATGTCAGAACTTCTTTTGTTTATCAGGCACACGTCCCAGCTTTTGGATCCGAAAATGTCCCCCCAAATTTCCTGTCTACTCTAAAATTATAGTGCGCCTGGGAGTGAACATAAGCAAAATAAAGTTGACTTTAAGTTGAAAGTCATACAATACTCCCCCCCCCCAAAAAAAAAAACAAGTTGGGACAGTTCATCCTCACTTCAGGACAATTAAAATTAATTTTTTGGACAGTGCTGGGACAGTAGGAAGAAAACTTAATTTCGAGGCCTGATAGTGGGACGTTTTAGGACGTCCTTCGATCGGCTATAAAGTCATTAACCGAGCAAAGGTACTTTCCTAGTAACCATGTGGATATGTGTAACTGTTGGGGGTACTCATAGGGGAATACCTGGTCTTTTAATTCGTGATCTCAAAGAGTATAGGTCAGTTTCTGATGTTTTACATAACTACTCTCCAAGCAGAGGTTTGGGTTTTGGGGGTATTTTTAGCGTGTTTTTAGGCTTTTTTTATCGGGGTTTCTCTTTTGCACTGAATTTTTTTTGGTGGGAAAAAAATTCAGTGCAAAAGAGAAACCCCGATAAAAAAGCCAAAACCTCTGCTTGGAGAGTATTACATAACCACATTTTACTCACTAGACTCAAGTGAAAATGAGTATTGTCCTGTTCCGTATTTGTCCTCTGTGTTGGTGACGGGATAATATAAGTTGATATAAGTTGAGTGTGCCGTCACCATATCCAATCATGAAATGTTGGAATAAAAAAAACACATTTCTAACACAGTTCTAGAATACATAATTGGCATGGTTACTATGATACTCACGGCAAGTATTTAAATTGGCTAATTGTCATTTAGAGGATGAAAAGCATGTTCTTTTTTTAGCTCCTAGAATACGTTATCTACCTCCCACTTTCTACTAATAAGTATGTAACTTTATTTCTGTAAAACTTGGAAATGTAATGACATAGCAAGGGCTGTATACGTAAGTATGTCAACCTCTGAATGATAATTACTATTAGGCCACACCAAGTAAATTTTATGGATGACGTCCGCGCGCGCATTGATTTTGGCCTGTTCCTAAAAAAAAAGAAATTCCGCTTCCTGTAACTATGACCAAAGAGTCACGACAGTGCCACAAATCGTCAGATTGACGTGAAACCCGTAACGCGAAAACAAGACAGGACAACTGTTATTCCACCTGATTTATTGCTGTTTTGATGATGAATAAAAGACTTCTTGCTTGTTAAACTGTGTCACCTCACTCAATTTGTGTCCTAACATTTGTCGTCTCTTAGTATATTTCTAATCTAGGCATATTGTTTTTTAGGGCCCTTCTTGTTTTTTTTCGCCCTCTCGCATTAGATTTAGGGTCTCCAAAGGACGTCATCTATAAAATTTACTTGGTGTGGCCTTATAAAAACTATTGCAATGTATGTTTCCCCATTTCATACATCTTAGCAACAAAGATAGGTTCATATTTCTATTGGCTTTAGACAAACCTTCGATCATAAAACACATCTGTACTTATATCTACATCATTACTAAGAAGCGAGAAGAAGCCAAATTATCGTAATTATTAGACTATATGTCCATAGTACATAGAATTAGCACGAGCTTGTACATTGTATACATGGCCACATTGATTTAATTTTATGGGTGACATCCTCTGAAGACCCCAAACTAGTGCGCGCGGGCGAATAAAAAAAAAATCCGGCCAAAAATAAAAATGCTACTAAACCACAGGAATACAAAGCTGATATTGTGAATTCGCGACAGTACTTAGCGACGTATACGACAAGCTGGCACATGCTGGCTTTTTGCGGCATTCATGAATCGGTACTGTACTTAATATGTACTGAGTTCTTGAGTCGTGGAGCTTCGGAATTCGATAGCCTGGGTGCCAGGCCCCCTATTGTCGCTAACTACCATGGACTACCCAGGCCTAGAGCCAGGCCTGGGCCTCGGTGGAGGTGATTCTTTTTTTAGGGCGACAGGCGAAAATCAATGCGCCCGCGGATGTCATCCATAAAATTAAGTCGGTGTGGCCTATTCATTGCAAACTGTGACGTCTTTCCTGTGACCTGTACTGAACCCAGTGGGTATTTGCGTACAATAAAGGTCTTCATTCATTCACTATTAATAGCGACTGAACAAGAACAGCGTGACCAGTCTAGACGTCTGGACATAAGAACACTCCAGGAAGGAGGAAGGAAAAAAGTAGTAAATGACGTCTTGGCTTCAGTGGAAACAAGGAAGGTGTTCACGTGATAATTACATGTGTGGGTCGATGTACTAGTAGTGAAAATGATAGTGCTTTCGGCAATCATGGCTAAAATGTTTAAAGTAAGGCAAATATAAAGTTTCTACCTATAGCTGTATCTGTCTGTATCTGTATCTGTATGGCCGGTATAACCGCCCTTCGGTGTAACACACCAGCTTCGCAGGCACGCGGCGCGGCGGCAGCTGGCTACATTACACTGATCGACTTGTTACACCTAACCCTAGAACAGCTAACTCTAGACATTGTTTTAAGCTATCTAATGACAATGCCTCTACTGTACTTGGTGACAGCGAGTTCCACTCTGCGATAGTTCTAGGAAAGAATGAATTCTTGAACGCCCCAATCCTTGTAAAAGTAGTTTTTTAAAGACAATAATTTTCAGTGCTAAAAATTGGACAAATAACCAAAGCTGAATGTATCTATACGGTATACTGTCCTAGTAAATAGTAGAACAGTGGTAGGAATACATATACTATATATATGTATCTCGGAACATCATATGATTGACAACAGTTTCGCAACATTTAATTTCTGAACATTTTTTTATTGAGTAAGGAACTAAAAAAATTGAAAAGATCATCTTTTTTATCATTATTTTATTTCATTGCTTAATAGGCACATTGATATGTAATCAGTACAAGAAAGAGGCCAGCTCTTTCACATATTGTAGGAAGACACTGATGAGTTTTAGTTACAATAGCTGTGATGAACACATTTCTTTCTCTTTCTTTCTTTCTTTCTTTCTTTCTTTCTTTCTTTCTTTCTTTCTTTCTTTCTTTCTTTCTTTCTTTCTTTAATTTTTTCATCTTATAAACACCTAATTGGCCTCTTCAACAGTGAATTGCTGATTTCCAAGAGGGCCCAGGGCCAACAATAAAACAAAAAGCAATTTGTATAAAAGTAAATCATACAATCAAGTAACACTCGACGAACAAAACACGTTACAGCAGCAATATTATCACTTATACATTCATTTGGACGGTAAAATTCACTAAATGTGCAGTTAACGTTATCATTCTATCTATGGCTGAATACTAATACATGTACAATGCTAGTAGTAGCCCTTTGTCATTGTTGTTTATGATATGTCAAATATTATTTGACAATATCTAACGTAACAGGCAGACACTATAAGAGAGAGAAATATTTCTCTCATCTATAAATAGATAACATAAATTACTTAAAACCCCGTTACTTTCATTATTTTCTTCATATACCGAACACATTTTCGACCCACCCTCTTGAAAACCATTGTTTCTATACTATTAATTGATTCTGAGTGAAACAATATAAGGGAAACAGGAAGGTGGGATGTTGCAATAGTCTGAGGGAAAATGATGGGGGAAATTGAATAGAGAAACAAATCACTCAGACAAAAAACAGCATTAGACACAGTATTATCAACATTAGGCCACACCAATTTAATTTGTTGGTTCTCGGATTCGCCTCTTTATTTTGTTCTGATTTGCAAGAATTTTTTTTTTTCTGAATCAACTAAAAAATGCTCATATTTTACCCCCATCTACCAATGCAGTGGTTTGATTAAAAGTTCAAAATTCATTGTGTTGTGTTGACTTCATGGCTCCTTGTGTAGCATTAATAGGATGCCTAGATCAGTTTTTTTCGCCCTGTCGCTTCATACTTTTTCTGAAAAATCCGAGAACCAACAAATTAAATTGGTGTGGCCTTATGACACTAGAAACAGTATCCTGATTCCTGTGTGCTTTCAAGGGACCGGTAAGCGCAGAGCTCGAAATTAAAGGCAGTCCAATGGCCATTGACCACTAAAATTTAGACTGGGACAACTAAAATGACACTTTGGGACATTTTTGGGACAATAGAAAAATAATCAACATCAGAATGTCAGCCTTTCTTTTATTTATCAGGCACACGTCCCGGCTTTTGGATCCGAAAAATTCTCCCCGAATTTCTTGTCTACTCTGAAATTATAGTGCGCCTGGGAGTGAACATAAGCAAAATAAAGTTGACTTCAAGTTGAAGTCATACAATACTTTAAATTTCAAAAAAACAGGTTGGGACAGTTCATCGTCAATTCGGGAAATTTATTTTTGGGATATTGCTGGGACAATAAGAAGAAAAGTTAATTTCGAGGCCTGTAAGCGGTAAGCTGTGTAGTTTTCTCTATTTTAACTAGCAAGATCAGTGACCTGGAGACAAGATTACAGAAAGAACGACTGAATATTAATATTGGAATATGAATATTGTGCGATCACAGTTGCCGGCAAATGTGGCTGACAATATGTCAAAGTAATATGCAGCTTTTATGGCTCTCCTACTCCGAAGTGTTTACATACACAGTACTGCAAGATCACTCTTCTATCCCAGCATTCTTCGTACTTCCGGTACAGACTAAGTTGCTTGATCTAGAAACAACACGGAAGAAATTTACGTTACACTTTCATGAATTCTATAGAGCGAAATTGGCAAAAATAGCTTATTTCTATATCAATGGCAGTTGTTTAATTCTAATGCATTCAATTATTGCTTGTGAGATAATAGATGGGTCAAGAAAAATTGCTATATTTACTATGGTTAGATCAGGTATCACACTGTACATTCTAACACTACACGTACATGTACATACCCTGCATCCTAAGTCTTTGCTTGTATGGCCACAGCAAGTAAATTTTATGGATGACATCCTCCGCAGACTCAAAATCTAATGCCATAGGGCGAAATAAACAAGGCGGGCCAAAAAAACAAGATTCCTACATTTTCAAATTTTGACATCATAAACCTTATTAACTTGACAAGAAAAGGCAACTTTGTTGTGCTAAGTTTACTGCAAACTATCACAACATCCATTTGTCACTGAAACAATTTTGAAAACTAAAAGTATACAAGTTTTAAATCGTTACAAATGGTTTTGATTCAGCGGGATTACCACATATAAAAGGAATTAAATACACCACAAGTGTTGTCCCTTCTCTATATATTTATCAGCCATCCACCTTCCGGCATGGCAACAGACATCTTTGCCTATTTTCAGCATGTTGACCACTGTTAGAGGGCAAAAAAACCTCTTGTGTTTTTTTTTTCAAAATCAGGCGAAAATTATCATCAATTAAAATTACTTGCTGCGGCCTATGTAAAACGTACCTTAAGAAAATTAAACTGTTCTCCAACTCAAAAGAAAATTGACTCACCAGAAATTTTCCACTGAATCGCTCAGTCTTCATCAGCTTTATTCACCAATTTCACACTTCCCATAATGCCTAGTAAAGATCACGGCTATGACGTAAGACCCCCCTCCCCCTTCCTCGATGTAATATTTCCAACAATTTCTATCGACAAACTGGTCAACTATTGTTTTGAATTATTTATCTAGTATAAAGCGCTTGCCATAATTGCATTTTTGTTGGAATTAGAGAAAATGACGTACCTTCTACCGAAGACTCTCCTACTCGCACGGTCGTATTTCGTACATCCCCTTCTTACGTCATATCCCACCTATATCCGTGATCTTTACTAGCCATTATGGGAAGTGTGAAATTGGTGAATGACCCAAGTGCTGTGGACACGTGACTTTTAGCCACGTGTAAGCGATTCAGTCAAAAATTTCTGGTGAGTTACTTTTCTTTTGAGTTGGAGAACAGTTTAATTTTCTTCATTTATTCTACCGACTCAGGTTAACTTTCATGCTAGTAAAACGCAATGCCCGTAGCCAGGGGGGGGGGGGGTTCGGGGGTTCTTCTGATCCCCCACAAGGCTCAAAGGTCCACTTTTTGGTCCACTTTTTATGTAAAGGTCCACTTTTGGTCCACTTTTTATGTAAAGGTCCAAAATTTTTCTTGAAAAGATGGACTGGAATCGTAGAAAAACTGCTCCCTTTGTCATTGAATAAAAATTTATCTCTGACTTTTTTCTTGGAAATCCTCTCAAAAATGCACGAAATGCCATTTTAGAAGGTTCATTTTTCATATTTTCCGGGGAAGCATGCCCCCGGACCCCCCTAGGAACCTCGCGCCTGCGGCGCTCGCTGGTCCCCTAAACCAGTGGAAAGAACCCCCCCCCCCTTCAAAATCCTGGCTACGGGCATGAAACGTACCTGTTGTATATGAAAAGCGTCGTCTATCACCAGTTCCCATAATGACGGCCCCTCCAGGGCTGTGAAGGTGATCTGGTATCTTCTCATGCCTGCCGACGAACCAGGATTCCTCGTCTCAAAAACATGGAGGATCCGGTCAAAGGTCAGGTCCATACAGGACGTCTTCTGTGCCGTGGCTAGTCTGTTGAGCCTTCGTATTCTGGAGAGTGTTTCCTTATTTAAAAAAAGTACAGAATGTTTTGAAAGATTGAAAAAATAAAACACATTTTAAACGACCATAAAAGTTCATCTGTGTCAAACTGGGTCAAAGATATCTGGCACCCTTCACTGAACCGCGACGGGGGCCGACATCGTCTACCAGATACCTTTGACCCAGTGTTGACGTCACACTTCAAAGAAGCCACGTGACAAGCTTCACTGGGTCAGTCTACTGAGGAAGACCAGAGTGACTGGTCGAAAGCTCTAGGTGAGAGAACTTTTTGTGTTGGATCTAAAGTTTTAACTCTAAACACATTTTAAACGACTTGGAATATTCAGAGGTCGATACATGTTATGCTGAGCATGCATTGTTATTCATTTTCTCAGAGAGTTTATAAGGGCATGCAAGCATATACAAATTAATATACCTCATCACATATTATCAGTAGTTCTATATGTACTAATTATCTGTTTTTATACCAAATGTTTCTCCTGGTCCTGCAATTAGTCCTCGGGCATGAATTTGCAATAAAACTTGTTATTATTGAAAATTCTTGTCAAACTCAACAGTATGTACTTTGCTTTAACCACAGATTTGTGACTACGGTCACCCACACAATGGACCTATACCATTATTACGTCACAGTTTGTTTACCGCAATGAATCCCAGTCTATCGACGTTTATATTGTACAGGGGTGCGTAGTGTGGTGTGTGTTTGTGTAGTGTTAGCCTAATATAAGGCTTTTAATACAGTACTACTTTCGTCTAATGTCACAACTAAATCACCCAAAGGCATGCAATGCTGTGTAAACACAACTAGACGCAGCAAAAATCGGACATACCTTACTTTGAAAACTTTGAAATGATCTTTATTCTTTAACTGATCGTTCTAGAATGCTCTTAAAAACAGGTAAACAAACTGTGACGTAATAATGGTACAGGTCCATTAAGAATTAGTGATTCATCATCATCATCATCATCATCATCATTCATCCTGCGAATTGCACCATCAGTGTCGAGAAGTAAACTGTCGGTAGTTGGATTTAGGTGCATGAACTCTTTCTTGGAAGCGTTCAGATATAAGCCTATTTTTTTAACATGAAGTTTCGACTTTAGTAAGAAGAATATTAATGATTAAGAGCTAAGAAAAGACCGTTATAACAATGTGAATGCATAATATTATATAGGGCGATACATCTACTGGTGATATAGTAGCTATACTTACTGGTCTGTGCATGTTGTTAAGATAATGTAGGGAGAACTTGGCCATTTCTGTATGTCTTGCTGACCACTCTGTTTCTTCTAATTGCTATAGAACGTTGAAACAAACATGTCAAAGTTATAGACACTAGGTTGCATTTGAAATAAATAAAATAGAGACACAGTCAGGTATATTATACGTTTCTCGTGCTCAGTATTGTTGTTGAGTATTGAGCATCTATTCTGAACAAAGAATTTGTATTAAAAATTTTGTGTATTTTTCCATGCTTAGATCTTCGATTTACGGATTTGTAAAGGTAAGCGTAAAGACTTCGTATTTAAGCACACTGAAAGGTGACGGAAAGGCGGAATTTGCCTTTCAGCGGCCTTTACGAAGTCGTAAAGTCTATATTTTGCCACCTTTAATAATTCTTTACATATTGCGGAAAGTTTGCTTAAATATCGGTTTTCGTGCTGTCTTCCTTGTGTCGCCTATAGAAACTAGAAGAATAGTGGATACAGAGCTTCATTTCTGTGGAAACGAACTGCAATAATAGATAGTCAAGAACAACGAAATCCACAAATTATCTCCCGTACATAGAAACAAGACTCGTACCTTCATCAGACCGCATGCGCAAGTCCATGCAGGCAGCCCTGCTTCCTCACACGTCCGGTTTCTGTGATAAGATTACGAATGTCAATCACTTTTTATTTACGATCTTTGATTGGACAAGTAATAATCAATCAATGACCCAATTAGGGTTATACACGTACTTCTGCTAGTTGTGGCGTGGTAAATTCAGACCTCATGCATTAATGTGAGAGCAAAACTACTAGTATGTCATTTTCACCATGTCGCCAAGAAAAATCAATTATGATTATTGATATTCGTGTCAATAACATATTACAGAAGTTTAAAACAGCATAACATGAAAGTAAAAAAGGATATGGATAACGAACGTATGGTGCCAACGAGGCTTGATTTTCGGAGTAACACGAGAGTAAAGGAAAATCCGTACTTTGGCACAGTCTCTGTTAATAAGTTGATAGCAGTATCTGCCGTGTGTCCCTCTGTACTGTCCAGCCGCGGGTAGTGGAGTAGGGACTTCATAGTCTTGTGTAGATCCAGATGAACCTGAAATAACAGAAATCTTTATCACGATATATAGTATACAGCGCCCTTTTTTGCCCTTGCGGGTGAATGAAGCGCTGCACTAGCCAAGCGTTAACAAAAATTATCATATAGCCAGAAAGCACCTCGTTCACTGCACCTCGTTCGCTGCGCTCACTCGGTGATTGTATTCGGTAGTTACAACAACTGGCAAGGCTTCATGACACCATATTCACCTCGGGGCGGGTCATTAACCCTTAACTCAGAGCCAAGACACAGTACAAGAAATACGTTAGAAGAAAAAAGTGCGTTTTCCTCACAATGTATTTTCTCTGGTTGGCGGCGAGATTTTTCAAGATGGCGGGCCTGTCTCTGAGCAGCCATGTTGGTAGGATGATTGACAGGAAGGGCAGGAGGGTCTCGTAGTGCCCGCCCAGGTGTGAGGCGAAGCGATGGTAGGACTTCCCGTGGTCACCAAACAAGAACTGAAACATTAGAGGAATTCTTTTTTTGTAAAAGTAAAACAGTCAGCTATACAACCTTTCGATTTTTCCTCCTAACATTTCTATTTGTTTGCCCTAGAAGAAAAAATGACTAACGAAAGCACTGGTCGCGGTCTGATTTGGGAGATCACGAATATGCAAATGAGTACATACTAAAATTTAGCCCCTGTTGTCAAAGAGCACCGCTGCAGTACCTCTAGTCACAAATTCGA